TGTAGGCTCGGTGTTGGAGCTTTCTTGTTGCTAAGCATCCGTGGTACTTGCTCCAGTCGGGAATAGCTGCTTCTGGCAAGTATATGAGGAGCAACAGACTAGTCACTTCATAGAAACCTTTCCTTTTTATAATCACACAAACACTCTTTAATGTGGGGGTGTGGGTGTCTCCCAGTATATTTTATAGTGTGCGTGCAGGAGAAGAATATAAGAGGCTGGCCTATATTTTTGTATTTATGAAAGTCAAGAAGAAGTAAGTTTTATAAAAGTTGTCTAAGTTAAGGAATGGGCTTAAGACTATAAAACTATCATCTTTTATGAACTGGATTGTTTCTATTTTTATATTTCAGTATAAAATATGAAAGCATCACTTTAATGGAATTTACCAGGTCAACCCCCCACCAAAATTTACTCATGACATTTTATGACTAAAATTCCTCTGTAGTTCTAAATGACTGCATTTGGATTTAGGCTACAGTTGCTCTCTCGTTACACATTTCATCCAAAACTGGATCAAGTGGTTCTTTAGCTTTTGCAGCAAATGTAGACATCAGTTGCATCTGCACTGTAGAATGAATGCAGTTTGACCCCACTTTAGCTGCCATGGCTTAATGCTACAGAATCCTGGAAGCTGTAATTTAGTGAGGCACCAGCACTCTTTGGAAGAAAAGGCTAAAAGATCTTGCAATTTTACATGGTTTGCCGTCTTCTCTGCCAAAGAGTGTTCGTGGACTCCCAAGATTTCATAGCATTGAGCCATGGCACTTAATCAAGTTGAATTAATTCTACAGCATAGATGCATCCACCATCACTGTCAACTAGTGGCACTCCTATCATTCATGTCTCTTTTTATACTGCATTTTAGGTGTAGATGCCAGAAGTGTTACATTTTATGGATTACAGAATGCAGACTCCCCCAAATTACCTGTCCATTCTAATTAGGAGACTATAGTTCTTGTGTTTCAGAAGAGATGGTCCAACTTCTCTTCTAAATGTAGTTGTGATGCCACTGTAATCAAGGCATTTTAGCTTCTCCTTCTAACTGTCCTTTTAATTAGATGATTCCTTCTTATTCTTTTCAGGAAGCTTCTAACTTTTGGCTTCTGACATCTAATAAGCAAATGTTCCTTTTTGAATGGCTTTGAGTTACTAATCTGGCTCTGTTCCTTGCTGTAGATGAAGAGTAAATTACTAGATACGTCTTTGCAACTTTTGCACAGTTGCCTCTTAAAAATAAAATGATAGGCAAGTGCTTTGATTCCCCCCACCCTCAAAAGGACAGAAACCACTACTGCATATTAGATAAGAGGAAGATATTATTTGTGGTTTGATTCGGGAATCCTGGTTTGCCTGATTTGTATGATAAAGTCCTCAGAGACAACAAATGTCAAATACAGTTACAACAGTAAAGCCAGGAAAGTAAGAACTGAAATCACCCATCACAGGTGTCTGGTTTTCCTCTGGGTTCTGTGTTGTTTATAATTGCCAAACCCCAGGAATGAAGTTTCAACTATTCTTAAGGAGAGAAGAATCCTTTTAACCCTATAACTGCACTGTTCCCCAGCCAGTGTACAATTCCTTTCATTAATGTTTTTAATACCAATCCACTTCAGGCCCGAATTCAGAAAAGATATAATGAAAAATAGGGGTCTAGCATAGGGATGCAGGTGTGGGGATCTTGGAGACCACAGAAACAGCCTTGGAAGCTGCAATCCATAGGCTGCACTTTCCCCACCCCTGACCTTGAAACACCTGACTCCTCTTGTGAGATATAGGACCTTGCAGAGCAGTGGGTGAGATGGCAGGAATGTTTACCTAAAAAAGGTAACATAGTTAACATGCCTTTTCCCCTGACACTAATGTTAGAATTTGCTCCAGAAATGCTATTGCTGATGGAAGCAAACTCAGTATGCCAAGTATGATAGTACCATTTTAATTACTAATCAGTTTCACAAATTGCCCATTTACTTCAAATGCAAATGTTGAATTGCTTTTCATTGCCACTTTGTATCTGTGGAAAAAGAATGCAAAAATATTACTGTTAAATACAGTGAAATTCTGTACTAATATCACAATCCTATTCCTTGAAATCTGTATGTACTTAGGGAGGGAAGTGGGAGGTAATCTCTTCCAGCAGGCATACCCAGACAGTTTTTAACTATGAATCTTAAACTCATGTCTTTTGTTTAGTGTCTGTTTTGTGTACTTTAATATGTATTTTATAGAAATGCAGTTTTAATATCGATCTTTTATAGAAATATGTATATTTGTTGAATTTTTTCAATGTTCATGTTTTTAAATTGTGTTGTAACCCACCTCGAGCTGCAGGGAGAGGTGGGTAAGAAATAAAATTATATTATTATTATTATTATTATTATTATTATTATTATTATTGTTATTATTATTTTATTGACACAAAAACACAGTATGTCACAGTAAACAAGATATATACTCTGGATTTCATATCACAAAATCACAAGTCGAACACTTCCCAAATGTCTAGGACTGTGTGATGTATTTTTGAATGATGTGCACAGATCCAAGTAAGGTGGCCTTTTGCAGTTGACAGATTGTGATTTTGTCAATGTTTATTGTTTACAAATGCCATTATTATTATTATTATTATTATTATTATTATTATTATTATTACCATGAGGGAAGGAGGTTGCCAGAAATGCAACTTGAGTTTGCCCCTTGTAAAAGTCACTCTCTGTGGTAGTTGTGTGTGTAAGAAACAAAGCACTGTTTTGAAAGAAAGAATCCACTATCACCCTAAGACACTTTGCTGAAAGTGCCCTGTGATGGCCACTTACAGTCAAATGTTCTGCTCCAGCTAGTGCAACTGTGCATGAAGCAAGATTCTAGAGGTATAATGCATGCAAATCTAAGTTGTTGTCTCAAACCTGTATGTGTCCATGTATGTATGAATGTGTACATGTCAAGATGGCCATCCATATCTCTTATCTACTTGAATGAGGGCTGCAGAATTTTAAGTCAGATCTTAGTTTACACTCAATTATTAAAGATCTATTTTGTTCATGTTGGAAAAAAAACTGTTTTTCTGTTTTTGATTTTTCTATCCTAAACTTTTTTATAGGCAAAAAGCAGAGAAATGGCAAATTTATTATGAAAGAAAATGATTTCCTTCTATCATAAGTCAGTTTTTAAATCATAATAAAGTTATCAGCAGTTATGGAAAACATCACAGGAGATGAGAAGAATAGGCACTTCACAGAGTTTTCTGACATTTCTTAAAAATAGACATGTGCACAATCAGCACCTGATAGAGTTGATAGCTGTAGAATTGTTTCATCAAATTACTACAGACAGATTCACCCACCCACAGACAGACAGGCAGGCAGGCAGGCAGACAGGCAGACAGACGTCTCATCAATAAAATTATGGATAAGTCAAAGAGCCTTGACATGAACACTTATGAATCAGAATCCATTTGTTTCTAGATAAAACAATGCAGTCTTTCTACAGAAACATGTGTTATAGGGCACTGAGGTTACAATATGACAACTGATGTTTAGCACCTGGTTTGGGTGCAGTTAATGAATCATACCTTAGGGTGCAGTTATTAAATAATAGTTTGGGGTACAGATGCTGAATTTGTAGTTACAGAATCATAGTTTGAGGTGCAATTACTGAATTTGGATATCCATTTTCTGCCTTCACACATTTGGAGGCAATTCTTGTATGAAGTAGTATACCAGGTTTTTGAGATCATGTTCAGTTCTTATTTATTTATTTATTTATTTATTTATTTACTTACTTTATTTCTATACCGTTTTTCTCAGCCCTCAGGTGACTCAAAGCGGTGAACAACATCAGTACAAAATATTACAAAATAAGTATAGGGCAATTAAAAACAATTATCACATAAATCATTAACATCAGTATAACAATCATTAGAGCCTCAACAGTAAAATCAGAATCCAGTCTCGTCATCCATTATTCCATATTCCTATGTTTAATTACACTGTTTAATCAAATGCTTGTTCGAACAGCCAGGTCTTCACTTTCCTCCAGAACGCCAGCAGGGAGGGGGCCAATCTGATATCTGCAGGCAGGGTGTTCCACAGCCGAGGGACCACCACTGAGAAGGCCCTGTCTCTAGTTCCCGCCTGTGATGCAGCTGGGACCGAGAGCAGGGCCTCCCCAGATGATCTTAGTGTCCTAGTCGGTTCATAGGAGGAGATGCATTCGGAGAGGTAAGTAGGGCCAGAACCGTTTAGGGCTTTATAGGCTAAAGCCAGCACTTTGAATTGTGCCCGGTAGCAAACTGGTAGCCAGTGGAGCTGGTGCAACAGAGGAGTAGTATGCTCCCTGAGTGCCGCTCCTGTTAGCAACCTGGCTGCCGAGCGCTGGACCATTTGAAGCTTCCAAGCAGTCTACAAAGGCAACCCCACGTAGAGAGTGTAAGCCTGGTAAGCAATGAAGAAAGGACTAATTTCACAGTACTTCTGAATAATTGCAATATCAAAGGATGCAGATCAAATTATACTAATTCATAGGATTCATACTTCTTGTTTCTTGTATACAGTGAGGAGCTTTTCTTGTATTTGACATCTGTGGTCCTTACATGCATAGTGAGGTTGATATCTATATTGTCATCAGCTGAAACTTGTTTCTGAACTAGTGATTCTCATTGTCACAGTGTTCCCCTTCATGCAGGAAAGTCAGCCTACCATCATTTCTGTTTCAGCTAGTGTGTCATTTTTCAACACCATTTAAAATACTTGGGAAGTTTAAGACCTCTATAAATATGTTAAATAAATAAATGAGCAAATAAGAGACAGGCTACAAATATGGATATAGATACATTTAACAATCACAGAAATGTTGATTGGACACATTGTGTTTACTCTCATTAGAAGTAAGAATTTAATGGGCATGAAGGGCATACAGTTGTTCTTAAATTACAATTTTTAGAAAAGTAATGTTTCCTAGTGTGTATTTATTATAACTTTGTTCTGTCTTGTTTTCAAATCTAGGTTGAAGTGAGAAATTATGATTGCAACTGGGGGAGTCATAACAGGACTGGCTGCATTGAAGCGGCAAGACTCTGCCAGATCCCAGCAGCATCTAAATCTTGCAACATCACCAGCTAATGAAGAGCAGAAGCCAGTCAAGCGCCGACCTCGGGCAGATGTTGTTGTGGTCCGAGGCAAAATTCGACTTTATTCCCCATCAGGATTCTTCCTTGTTCTGGGAGTGCTCGTTTCTTTCTTGGGTATTGGTATGGCCATTCTTGGATACTGGCCTCACAAGGATCTTTATGCAGAGTCTGAAGACAGTTTGTCACTCAATGAGACTCAAGGCATAGGAAAAGAAAGTGGCATTATAATCCGTTTCCTTGAACAGCATTTACATTCTGATAAAATGAAAATGTTGGGACCTTTCACGATGGGCATTGGAATCTTTATCTTTATTTGTGCAAATGCAATGCTCCATGAAAACCGTGACAAAGAGACAAAGATCATACACATGAGAGACATCTATTCCACCGTCATTGATGTACATACCCTGAGGATCAATGAACAAAAGCTACTGAATGGTGCCTACGCTGGTTTAGTGGGAGAGAGTGAAGTCAAGCAAAATGGAAGCTCTTGTGCATCACGGCTGGCTGCAAATACAATTGCACCTTTCTCAGGCTTTGCAAGCAACTTCCAAGTGGAATGCAATGTTGAAGAGGATGACATTTCTGTGAGCGATAGCAAAAATACCACTAGTCTTTTGCCACCTTTGCTGATTGAGCGCTCTGGTTCAGTCTTTGGCCTTTACCCTCACTCTGGGAAAACAAGGGATGACAGAAGTAGCAGTTCTCTAAAATGTGAAACAAAATCCATCGTTTCATCCTCCATTAATGCTTTCACTTTACCTGTAATTAAACTAAATAACTGTGTTATTGATGAGCCAAGTATAGACAACATTACAGAGGATTCTGCAAGCTCTAGAGGCAGACCTAAAAATTTGTCCATGGACTCTTTAGCTGTCCCACTGACAGATGCCAACGACAGCTACAAACCCACTGGTGGATTGATACCAAGAAACACTTTATATGGAGATTCTACATCAAATCATTTCAAATCGTCTATGACTCTTGGACCCAGTGCTGGAAAGCTTTTGTCACCTGGTGCAGCCAGAAAACAGTTTGGGTCTAACACCTCTTTGCATCTTTTGTCTGCACATTCAAAATCCCTAGATTTAGATCGGGGCCGTTCTACTCTCACTGTACAAGTTGAACAAAGAAAACATCCAAGTTGGCCAAGACTGGACCGTAGCAACAGTAAAGGTTATATGAAACTAGAAAACAAAGAAGACCCAATGGACAGGCTCCTTGTGCCATCGGCCACAGTCAGGAAGGACTTTACTAATAAAGAAAAGCTTCTTATGATTTCCAGATCTCATAACAATTTGAGCTTTGAACATGATGAGTTTTTGAGTAACAACCTAAAGCGGGGCACCTCTGAAACAAGGTTTTAACAATTATATGACTGTAGTTTATGTATTTCATGCCAGTATTTTTTTAAAGACAAAATCAGACTATTTTGACATGATTATAGCCAGATGTTCCTTGTTTCTGTTTCTTGCTTTGTTTCTAGTACAAGTCTGTTTTTTAAAAAAGGAAAAACCAAATCGGATGAAAATTGCCTTGTGTTAGCAATGGTTATTTTTCACCTCTGCCAACTGTTTAATGTCAAGAAGCTTGTTCATCAAGACACAGTACTGGCAGAATGCCGATGAGATGATGTTTGTGTTAGATGGTAACAGGATGGTGGATTGAGAATTGACATCTTCGTAATTTACAACTGCAATACTGTAGATTATCATTGCTTGATGTATTTGGGTGCCTCAGATCTATTTTCTTCCATCCATTGCTCTTTTGTTTCTATATAAGCATGCTATCTGTCATTGCTGTGAATCAACAATAAGAGCTGACTTAATAAGTATCAAAATTCAGATCCGTCATTACTGGCAACATTTTAAGAATGCTGATTTTAGATAAAGATGCAGATGAATGCAAGGTTTGCAGAAGAGCCGAACTTAGCCCTAGTCCAGAGTGAGACTTGAAGTACACCCAATGAAAATGTGGGCTGTTTTTCATTTTGAAAGGCAGATCCACATTTCTATGTTCTTCTGTTTTTAAAAGAAAACTGTTTTCGAACCACTAATTAATTTCAAAATAAAATGTCCTTGTAGTCTGGGTGTTGCTGTTCAACCAATGTAAGTCCAAATCTATCTTGAACATGGGAAAGAATCTGCATGGCTCTTTAGGTTCAGACTAAAAAGTAGGTAATGAGCATAATCCACAGGGCGTATCCATCTATTCATGCAGTAGATCCTCCAGTTATTTCCCCAGGTTTGATTAAAGGATACTCCCAGTAGCTTGTGTCTATTTATCTTACCTACAATGATAATTTAAAAACTAATTGAACAATATTTAGTAAATCTGTTACCATACTAGATAGGTTTTAGGAGCAAGAAAAAAAATGTAAAGACTGAAAATCATTTTTGTCAACTTGCTATAATCAACCTGATGTCACTGTTATGTCTAAAAGTTGATCCATCATAATGACACAATAACAAGGGAATGCAGTAAGATAGACACCCAAGGACAGGATTCTCAGCCTTGGATTCCCAGATGTTGTTGGACTACATCCTGACTATTCACCATTCTAGATGGGTGGAAGTTGCAGATTGTGATAAAACAAGATGGCTATCTGATTGATAAGACCAGTGCTAGCAACAAAACCCGCCTCTTAAATTGGTATTGTCTTTATATAGCATCTAGGTAGTCTTTTTAAAGATGAGTAGTGTTATTCCTGGCATCACAAGATAGTTGGAGTGCTAATTATATGGGATATATATGAAACCCTGCCTGACAAGAACGGGATGACAGTGAATTCAAAAAGGATATTTAAATAGCTGATGTGTGGAGAACAGGTGTTTCTCTGTACAGCTTAACTTCTTTCCTGGCTTGGTGTGAATTAAAATACAAATGCTGCAGTTTGGAAATCATGCCAGCATTAAATATGAAACTTCTGTTGACCATATGTTCAACAATCCTGTTCAGGTAAGGATAATAAATGTGTGAGGATGGAGAGTCTGCTATCCCCATTCCTCTTTCATTTCCATCCCACTTCACATAGGAAATGGTTGTCTGATGCGGGGAGCCTCCTTTATCTATGAGTTCAGAAAATACGTATTATGATTCATAGAATTATTGAGTTGGAAGAGAACTCATGGGCCATCCAGTTCTGCCAAGAAGCAGGAAAATCACATTCAAACTTTCATGGATAAAGGAGGATGTCTTCTTCAGAAAGCCCATCTCTATATGAGACCAACAGAAGCAATCATGGAGAGGATGGGACTAGCGGGTTTCTTTTATGTTTAGTGTCCACACTTACTGAATACCTGAACTGGGGTTAGAAATAAAACATCACTCAGTGCAGTGATAAACTGCACTGTGAACTGTTTAAAGAGTGACACTTTTTCTGGCAAGTATTTTATCTCCTCCAGCTGGGTCACCATTAACGCTGAATTTTAGTGCTAAAGGAATCAGTGATGTGACTAGCTTTACCAGAAAGGCTCCCTTTGTTACACTGAGGGAAATACAATCTTGATCTTGGTGACTGGTCTGTTATACTCCAGTCTGCCCATGAGGTTTGGCCAATAATATCACAAAATTAAATTGTCATTTTAGCAGGTGTTTCATATTTCAACTTAGTCTAAATAACTCAGGAATTACTATAATTGCTGCTCCCGAAACAACCAGTTATTTCAAAATGCTGTGCTTCAGTTGATTGCAGAAGACAAAAGAGAGATTTTTTCTATAATCGTCCAGCTCCATATTCTAACAATGTGCTGTTTCTGTAACAAAAGCATTACTTGCCCAGTGAATTGAGGCATAGTGTTAACTTGTTAGAATCTCAAGCCTATATATTGTAACAGAGTTGGCTAAATATTTTGCTATGAAGCTTTTAATAACTTTCTGGTCAGTGTTCTTAATAAGTTTGTTATTTTTTTAAGTAAAAAAGAAAGAAAGATATGCGTGTGTAGTAAATGCCTGTTTTTCTTGGTGTTTTATCATTCTACTGTTATAATGAAAGAAGACAAGCTCTCCTTCTCCACCAATATAGCCTCTAGTCCAGTGCTTCTCAACCGGTGGATCCCCAGGTGTTTTGGCCTACAACTCCCAGAAATTCCAGCTAGTTTACCAGCTGTTATAGTTTCTGGGAGTTGAAGGCCAAAACATCTGGGGACCCACAGGTTGAGAACCACTGCTCTAGTCTTTTTCACTGGCACTTGGCCTGTTTTGGACAGTAACTCTCAGAGTCTACCAGCCAGTATGGCTACAGGTTTGGAAAACTGTGATCCAAACACAGTTTCCAGCTGATTTTGTTGAAGATATATGTGGAGTATGCTCAGAAAGCCCTGATTCATTCTTCGTGTATTCCTTGTGTTCTCCACTATAATGAAGAAAGCTATCATCCTACATTCTGAAGAGGTATTATCAGTAAAATTATATGTTCGGGTTTATCTTGTTGTTTTGCCATTTCCTTTGTCTGATCATGCAAGAGCCTTTTTGTTGCTTGTTTTTGAACCACTTCCTCACTGAGCAGATAGTCCAGGAACATAGTAAGCACTCTTAATAATGATATGGTGCCCTATATCATTATTTTCTTTTGATATCAGTCATCCATTCATTGATTCCATTTTTTTACTACCCCAAGAGCTAAAGCATACTGGACAATTCACAAAATATGGGTTGTTTTTTTTAAAACCAAACACACACACACAAACAATAACATGTTACCAAAAGCAAAATGCTATAACAAGTTTTTTAAAGGCAGTAGTAGGGAAGGAAAATCAAACATGTTTTAGAAATAACATATGTTCACCATCATGTACTCTTTCCAAGTTTACTGACTTTTGCATAATATTGTCAAATGTTTTTGAAGCATTTCAGCAACTGAGTTGAGACCATATGTATCAGAGAAGAATACAGTGTACATTTTGGATATTAGTTAATCCTGAGAGAGGAATGTAATGAGAAAGTGCATGCTCCTGCCAAGTTTTCATCATCAATTAAATAGATCAGACTGATATATTGAAAGAGACCAATGTTCTCAGCAAGCATGAAGCATCTTTATCTGTGTATGAGAGGATCTCAGATAAAGAGCTTGTGTGATCAATGCATAGATGGGATTATGAAATGCAAAAACTTACAGAAGGAAATTGTTCCAAGGGATACCGCAATGGGCCAAGGGGTACAAGTGGAACTGCTGTCATTCAACCTTGCATGAATTGGTCGTTACATTGAGCTCTAATTTGGTATCAAAAGTTAGGCTGGTTAACGCATTCATGTATAAATATTTTATTTAGCAAAGATAAAGGTTATTGCTAATTTTTAATATTAAAAATCAGCCAATTTTATATATAAAGGAGTAAAGTTTTGTTATAGGTTGTTAATGAAACCCAGCTATTCAAAGTGTAAAGTTAATAGTCCTTCAGGTCATAGACTCTCTTACTTTCCCCCGAAGCCTTCCCTATTTTTCACACAATAGCCTATTTCACTTCACTTATGCTACCTTACCTTTCTTCCATCTTCTGATACTGACATGGCAGAAGATCAATGTCATGCTTTGGGCTACATAAGAATCCACCTTAGGGAAGAAGACAATGTGACACTTTTAAAAAATAGACAGATTGCTCAGACACAATGTAGTATTTATGGAAATGTCTCTTATCACCACATTTCCAAGAAAATAGTTTTCTGTGTTCACGTTTTAGGAAGGGGATTTTACATGGAGTCTTAAATCAGAGATTTAAGTTGGGGTTGAGGGGGCACATTGCACATACACACTGGAGATCTAGAAGAGCCTCAAAATTCCCACCACTCCCTTGGTGTTATATGGGACATGTTCACCAGGTTTCACCCCTCTTTGAGGCACATTGTTCAGCATGAAATAACCTGAATGAGGCAACAGGGTGAGGGGGCATTGGGGAAAAAATTTAAAAACAAGGACAGAGGAAACATAACATGGCCTTGGTGGGGTCACATGCAGATTCAAGGGCCACACTTTCTCTGCTGCAGCCTTAAAATATGTTGCTTTGAGAAGGTGGACTGGAACACATATATTTGATTAGGGGTGGATTATTTTAGAGGTCATTTTTGTTGACATCTCATGGATGGTTGCCAGATATAATTGCCTGTACAAAAGCTCTTTCAGTGCAGAAAAAGTAGGGCTGCCAGTCTGTGTGACTCTCCACTGCTTGCCGCTCTTTCTTCTGGATCTTTGAACCACAGCCAGTTTCTTCCATGACCTACCACATGCCAGGCTGTTTTGCTCTTCTCTCTATCCTGTACTAAGAGTACACAGGGGGGTGTCTGAGATGTTAATCAGATACAAAATTATTCATTCTCAGCATTTCCAATCCAAATGACTCGGGACATGAACCAGATAATTAGCAGGGTAGTTCAAATAAATGAATAATAATGCCTCATTTACTGCAGGAAAAGGGCATATTGAGTTCTCCTCAGGATCCTGATTTATTTGCATGTTTTTGCTGTTTCCCCCCCCTCTGTGCTTAGCTCATTTGTTGCTTTTTTTCTATAGTTTTTTAAAAATATTTTTTCCCTTGGGATCCAAATTTCTGTGAGGTATATTCTCTTTTCTTGCTTTCTCGTTTTGCAAGCACATAAATATACAATGCTTTCTGTGTAACCATAACACTTTTTGAAAATCCTGATAATATACTGCCTTTGGGCTCTGGCTGTGTACTAAGACAATACATCATGTTGCCATTGTGGGGTTGGGCCTCTAGAGCAGATCTTATGATATGTGAAAACAGAGGACACAGAGCAAAATGCTGATCAGATGGTGCGGGGGAGGACATTTGACTTCTCTTCCCACTGCCCTTAGAACATAGTGCACATCACAAAAATAGATCTGGACATTTCCAAGTCAGCATAGAGGCTACACAGTCCACAAAGAATGGAATTCTACCTCCTTGCCATTTCATTTAGGAAGAAAATATCATCATATGAGTCAAACTGAGTTTCTTCACCAATAATGTTGCCAAGTGTGAGTGGGAAACCTTCCTTTTTATGTAGTGTCAATGTTGTACTAAGTGTTGTCGGAATTGCTTTAAAAATATGGCTGGGAGGCCAACTCACTGAGAGATTGAGGCCCTCATAGAACATGCAATATCTATGCCATCTCTGAGACTGAAGTATATATGGACATATGTCAAGAAGAGACAAAATGCATTTAAAACTGAAGCAATAGTAATTTTATTGTGATGAGGCATTAGCATTCCTTGGCAGAATAGGTAAAGACTTGCAAAACTACAACTCCCATGATTCCACAGCATTGGGACATGGCAATTAAAGTGGTGTCAAATTGCATTCATTCTATAGCGTAGATGTGTATAGCGTAGAGATAAAACAAGTTCATACAGATATTGTCTGGAAATGTCCTATCTCAAATGAGGATCATCAGCTTATCTGGGCCTTTTGTAAATGGGTCAAAAGGACTGGGAAATGAATCTGGACTTCTCATTCTAAGTTCTACAAGAAAACCAATGGGCAACAAAATGTGTTAGTTAATGCTGTGAAAATCAATCTTATGCTCAACTTATATATGCTTGTAGATAAACCATATACTATTAGAAACCATAAACTCCAGTGATCTTATTTCAGAGAAACCAATCCAGGATGAGAGGAATTCTCCCCCTGAGGTCTCATTGTCTGGAGAAGCAGAGTGCTAAAAGACTTAACACAAAGTACCTTTATGTCAGGAGTGGACAGTGGACAGTTCTCTGATGTTGTTAGACTACAGCTCCCAGCAAACAGCATAGTCAAAGATGCAAATGCTAGGAGTTATAATTTATCAACATCTGGAGGCCCAACTCTAACCATCTCTAACCCACAGGCTAAATACAAGGTAGTCCCAGATTCAGTACTTGGTTTCCACAGGCAGCTATTATTCTGAAGAACAGTATATAGTTAGATGTATGGCCACCACAAGATACCAAGGAAAAGATTGTGATTCAGTCTACACACCAGTGACACCCATCCTGCTATTTGTATCTTACTTCACCAAAGGTGACAGAATAGTATCTTGCACAGTGCACACAATTAGAAGGAAGCAGATTAGCTAAGGAGGCCCATACAGCTCTGTGTGGCTTGCAGAACTCTGTCCTTCAGCACCTTATTTATTTATTTATTTATTTAATACACTTGTATACCGCTAATATCTCAGCCTAGATCGGCGACTCATTGCGGTTTACAGCAATTAAAAACAATCTCCAATTTAAAAAACATATACACATGCAGTACAAATTATTGGGCCACCAATAATAATCCCATGTATCTCGAGTTAAAATCATAATCCAGAATTCGTTGTCCATATTATCCTGTCCTTAGTCACCAAGATTCGATTGCCACAGATTAGCCGAATGCTTGTTTAAACAACCATGTTTTCAATCTCTTCCTAAACACCATTAGCGAAGAGGCTGATCGTACCTCTATAGGGAGGGTGTTCCAAAGCCGGGGGGCCACCACAGAGAAGGCCCTGTCTCTCGTTCCCACCAGCCGCACTTCTGAAGCTGGAGGGATAGAGAGAAGGGACTCTCCGGAAGATCTTAGGGTCCTGGTGGGCTGATAGGCTGAGATACGTTCGGATAGATAAGTTGGGCCAGAACCGTTTAGGGCTTTAAAGGCCAATGCCAGCACTTTGAATTGAGCCCGGTAGCATATCGGCAGCCAGTGGAGCTGGTTCAGCAGAGGAGTTGTATGCTCCCTGCGCCCCGCTCCTGTTAGAATCATGGCTGCCGCCCGTTGGACTAGTTGGAGCTTCCGGACTGTCTTCAAAGGCAACCCCACGTAGAGAGCGTTGCAGTAATCAAGGCGGGATGTAACCAGAGCGTGGACTACCGTGGCTAAGTCAGACTTCCCAAGGTACGGTCGCAGTTGGCGCACAAGTTTTAACTGTGCGAAAGCTCCCCTGGTCACCGCCGAAACCTGGGGTTCCAGGCTCAGCG